TGATTGATACAACATGACCATACAGCATTTTGGTTTTGTCTCTGCTACATTTATCACACATGCTACTGCTATTTGCTTCTGTCAGTCATTAACTACCAAATATAACTGTTGCTACTTCCCTACTTTTATAAGAAGTGATGCTACTACTCATAATAATTAAATTGTATCATCAACTATTAATGTAACTTGCTACTACTGTACCATACTTGTATATAGTGGTGCTACTTATAATCATGTTCCTGCTACCTTTGCTTCTCTCAGACATCAACTATCAATTCACTTGCTACTACCATACTTTTATAGCAAGTGGTGCTATTTATAATCATGTTCTTGCTATCTTTGCTTCTCTCAGTCATCAACTAACAAATACTGTATAATACCTGCTACTACCATGTGCTTATAGCAAGTGGTGCTACTTAAAATAATTAAAGTTATGTATAAATTTGCTACATAATTTTATCACACATTGTGTAGCTCATATTATCAACTACCGAATTAATATAACTATTGCTATGTAAGTGTTGCTACATATAATCATGATATTGCTACCTTTGCTTCTCTCAGTCGTCAACTATCAAATGCTTTATAACACTTGCTACTACCATACTTTTATAGCAAGTGGTGCTACTTATAATCATCAACTTTTTGTAACTTGCTACTTGCTGTTTTTATACATTGTGCTACTCTGTTAATATAACTTGTTTCTAATTTTATTACATTTTTATGCTACTCAAAGTCATTAACTGTTCTGTTACTGCTACTTTTATTACATTGGTGCTACTCACAGTCACCAGCATAAATCATAAAGTACAAAAATTTTAAAAGATGCAATTCAAAATTAAACAAGAAAAAAGAATCTTGAAATTATCATTATATCATTTAAAAAACAAACTACCTTTAAAAAAACAATTACGAACAGTTTAAAAACAGGAAATTGTTGAGACGATTTGAAAAACAAACAATAAATGAGATGTGCAAGTTTTATCAAATGTTATAATAATATTTAAGAATCTGAAAATAAATGTGTAGAATCCACATCAATCACTTGTTAATACTAAAGGCTTCATGGTTATCTATCAAAACTAGAAATCTCGCCAAAAACAACAAATACAATATGAAAGATGACTTTTTGATCATTTTCCAAATATTATAATTCATCATCGGCATATAACCATGTCAGAAGGTTAAACAAACGGAACTAAAATAGTTAAATATGCCATAAAAATAATTAACTGATAAGAATCTCATCAAATGAATATAAATCCTGTAGACTTGAAATCCAGTCACAATGAGTGTTAAAGTAGGCTTCCAAATCCAGGCAATAGCAAGATTTAACTTGAATTTAAATAAATACATGTTGAGAATAACATTGAAACAAATTTCAGCCTGATGTAAGGCAATTTTCAAAGAAGGGGACGGATAATACACATTTAATTTTAATTTTCCCCTTTATTTATTATTTTAAAACATTTAAGTTTGCAGATAAAATGCTTTCTGTAATTTAATTTTTAAGTTTATTTTAAAAGCGGAAGGGGGGCCGAAAGTTGGACCGATTGAGACAACACCGTCGTAGGGGGTCTGGGGGCATGGGGCGGAAG